CGGTGCTTGTTGCTCTAGTGGGGTCGGTGACGACGTCGATTTTGGCGCAAGTGCTGGGGGCGCCGCTGGCGTCGATTTGGGCGCGGGCGCCAGCATCAATGCTGGAGTCGATGATGGCGTAAGTGGTGGCTCAGGTGATGGAGTCTGCGCCGTCTTCGGTGCTGGCGCTGATGCCGACGCTGGCGCTGGCAATGCTGACGTCGATGCTGACGTGGGCGATGGCGTCGATGCTGACGCGGGCGCAGGAGTCCGCGCGGGCATCGTGGCTGACTTGGGCGGCTCTGACATCGGCGCGGGCGGCGGCGCTGGCGTCGAGTCTGGCACTGACGCTTGGGCCGTCGACGCCGCCGCCGCCGCCCAAGCCGCCGTCGCCGCCGTCTCTGCCGTCGTCGACGCCGAGTCCCGCCCGAGCCCAGCCCAGCTGCCCTCCCAACCGCCGCCTCAGTCGCTGCCGACGCCGCCTGCCTTCGCGCCGCCGCCACACAATCCTCCTCCGCCGCGGTCACATCCTGGATCTGCCCGCCGACGGTGGATGCCGCGCGCGCTGATGCCCGCGTTGATGCTAGTTCCACTGCTCGAGCTGAGACTGTCCTCGATGCGCGCGTCGATGCCGGGGTCGGCGCTGGCGTCGGCGCTAAAGTCGACGCTGGCTTCGCTGCTGGCATCAGCGCGGGCGTCGACGCAGGTTGTGCTGGAGTCGTTGCTGGCTGCAGTACCGGGGTCGGTGCTGGCGAGGATGCTGACGTCGATGCAGGCATCGATGCTGGGGTCAGCGCTGGCGTCGCTGACGTGAAATCTGGCAGCAGTACGAGAGTCGATACTGTTTTCGATGCCGCAGTCGATGCTATCGTCGGTGCTGTCGGCCATGCTTGGGAGAACACCGCCTTCGATGCTGGCGCCGATGGTGGCGCGAGTATTCGCCATGCTTGGTGCCGCGGTCCATCCGCCCACGGGGGAGGCGCTGGTGTCGGCGTCGGCGTTGACGTCGATGCTGTCGCGAGGTCTAGGTTCGATGCGGGGACCGATGCGAGCGTAAGTGTTGGCGTCGATGCTTGCGTACGTGATGACGTAGATGTTGGCCCTCATCCTGGAGTCCATGCCGCGTTCGGCGCTGTCGCGGATGCTGGGGTCGATGCTGGCGTCGGTGCTGGCGTCGACGATGGGGGCGGTGCTGGCGTCGATGTTGACACTGCTGGTGGAAACCGTGCTGGTGTCGTTGCTGATCTGGGCGGTGTTGATGTCGGTGCGGACGGCGGTTGTGGCGTCGAATCTGGCACTGGCGGACGGCGTCTGTGGGCATGAAGTCGGCGGCGTACGGGTTCATCAAAAAGTCGGTGCTAATGCTGGCGTCTGCGTACGCGTTGGCCATGGTGGTGCTGGCGTCGGCGTGGGTGTCGGTGCTGGTGCTGGCGGTGTTCGCAGAGTTATCGATGGTGATCCTTACCAGGTCGTCAACGAAGATGCGCCTGCAGTGCGCAGTGCAAGCGAGCCTCTAGTATGACGTCAGATGATGAACCTCACTCGAATGAGGCCCAATTAGTTAAGCCCGAGAAGGCCCATAGTGTACTCGTAACCAGCTTGGCGGCGGACATCGCGTCCTCCATTGCCGCTGACCGTGCGGCGCAAGCAGGCTGGCGCGCATGGTCCTCTGCCGCGGGGGGGCCCGCACCGAGCGCCGGGGGGGGGGCGTCCCCGCGTGCGGTGATTCTTCCTCCTCCTCCTCCTCCTCCTCCTCCTCCTCCTCCTCCTCCTCCTCCTCCCTCCCTCCTCCTCCTCCTCCTCCTCCTCCTCCCTCCTCCTCCTCCTCCTCCCTCCTCCTCCTCTCCTCCTCCTCCTCCTCCCTCCTCCTCTCCTCCTCTCCTCCTCCTCCTTCTCCTCCTCCTCCTCCTCCCCCTCCTCCGAGGGATGTGCGTCGGTGTGCGTTCGTTCTTCCCTCCCGGGGGGGAGGGCGCCGAAAGCGCACGGGCGCGCCGCTGCTGGCCGGGCCCGCCCTGGGCCCAGGACAGGTGCACTCGGACTCGGCGGCGCGCACGGGGTGAGCATGGGGGGCGGACAGGGCCCCTTCTGGCAATACTAGGGGGCCAGGTGCGAACCCTACCCCTGACCCCCACGATTTCTGAGGGGGAGGGTGGGGTTCACGTCGCTCGGGAGCTCCCGAACGAAGTGAACCCCACCCTCCCCCCTCAGGAGTCGTGGGGGTCAGGGGTAGGGTTCGCACCTGGCCCCCTAAAAACTAGTTCCGTGAGAACGACCTCGGGCCCACGGCGGGCGCAGGCCTGGAAGATGCCCGCCGCGGCGCCCCCTCGAGAGCCGAAAGCGGACAGTTCACTGATCGACGCGTCAGGGGGGGTCCCCCCTCTCACCCCCCCTCCCCCCCCCCCCTCCCCCCCCCCTCCCCCCCCCCCTCCCTCCCCCTCTCTTCCCTCCCCCTCCCCTCCCCCCTCCCCTCCCTCCTCCCTCCCCGTCGATCGGTTCACTGATCGACGTGTCAGGGAGAGAAAAGGAGGGCTGCTTGAAAGGAGGCTGCTCCTTAGAAGGCGCCGGCCGGGCGTCTAGAGAGAATGCCCGCGCTTTCTAAGAGGCAGCCTCCGCCTCCTGAGAAGCCTTCATCCGTCCACAGTTACACCATATGAATGCAACTCCCCTATCGCCTCCTGAAGTTGTCCAGCAGATGTCCCGCCCCCCGCGTGCTGTTGTTTAAACACACAAACACACACACACACACACACACACACACACACACACACACACACACACACACGCACGCACGCGCACGCACGCACGCACGCACGCACGCACGCACGCACGCACGCAGCACGCACGCACGCACGCACGCACGCACGCACGCACGCACGCACGCACGCACGCACGCGCACACACACACACACACACACACACACACACACACACACACACACACACACACAGACACACACAGACACACACACAGACACACACAGACACACACACACACGCACACACACCACATACATACACACACACGCACACGCACACGCACACGCACACGCACACGCACACGCACACGCACACGCACACGCATATACACACACACACACACACACACAAACACACACACACACACACACACACTCTCAAGCAGGATTTCCAAAGTTGTTATTTCTCACTGTTGTTTACAATCCGATGTTTTCGGTGTTTCAAAATGGTGTTCACGCTGCAGCGTGAGTGTGATTTTCGGATCGGCGCTTTTGCTCCAGTCGTTCAGAATGGCGGTTCCGCCAAAGCGCAGGCCACATGTTTGGATCCGAGTCTTGCTTCATTGTGGTCCCCCCTCCTCTCATTTCCCGTCCTCCGCCTTCCCCTGGTCATCCTGTTCCTCTCGCTCCTTCCACTCCAGTTCCTGCTGCAGCTGCTGTTCGTCTCTCCCCAGCGCGGGCCACTTTCCTGAATCCGAGTCTTTCTTAATCGTTGTCGCCACCCTCATTTCTCCTCCTCCGCCCTCCCCTGGTCCTCGTTTTCCTCCCTATCCTTCCGCTTTAGTTCCTGCTACTGCTGCTCGTCCTCATCCTTGTCCTCCCGCTCGTCCTCCTGCTCACCCGCCGCCTCCTCCTCCTACTCCCCTCCTGCGCGGGCAGCTCCCACATTGCACACACCACGAAGTGGTGTGGGAATCGCACAGGTCGGCCATGACACGCGTCCGCAAATCATAAAAATCAGCGCCATTGGAAGGGATGGTCGGGGGCGTCCAAGAGGGGGGCGATCAAGAGGGGGGGCGCAAATCATGGCCGGCGGCATGTGCGCGGCCCGGGGGGGGCCAGGAACGCATTTAAACAAGAAGAGGCGCCATGAGATCTGGGAGATGTCATGGCCCCCGCCACGATATCCACCCTCCCCTGGTCACCACCTCCCTCTTGGCCGCCCCCGAGTCAGGCGGGGCGTGAGCGCACCCAGTTTGCCCCAACCCCCTCCTGCGCGTGGCCGACAGATGACGCCTCCCTGCCTGGCCGGGACGGCACGCGACCGCACTGCTTCCGGGCCCAGGGTTGGCCGGGCTGGGATCGGTGCAGGTGTGCAGCTCGAGCCAGGTCGGGCGTGTCCTGTCCTACAGGCGCAGCTTGGAAGAAGAATCAAGAGTAGCTCTTGAAAGTACTCACAACGGGTCGAAGGTCGTCCACAGTCGTCCCCTCACTAACTCTCTGACTTTTGCTGGATACTGCTCCCGTCGAGGGACGTGCCCGACTTACAGCTCGCACCCTCCGACCCGATGCCGCTCACCGCGGTGATCCGGTCGCCCACCTTGAAGCCGAACCGCAGGGACCTCGGGTCGACCACCTCCCGGGGCGCGCGGGAGGAGGGCGACGGTGGGCGGCGGGGAGGGCTTCCCTCCCCCGCAGAGCCTGGGCAGCCTCCTCGGAGACCTCCGAGCCGGTGCCAGAGGGCCTGTGACCTCCCCAGGAGGACGAGGACGAGGACGAGGACGAGGACGAGGACGAGGAGGAGGAGGAGGAGGAGGACGACGACGACGACGACGACGAGGAGGCCGAGGCGGAGGCGGAGGCGGCCCCCTCGCGTCGTGAAGGTTTCTGGCCCGAGACGGCCTGCTCTTCTCGGCCTGCGAGGTGGGCCCGCGCGGCACCCCTAAGAGAGCCGTCCGGAGACGGCTCGACACGAGAAGACGGCCACACGGAGTGGGTCGAGACCTCCAGGGGCCACGCACGTGGTGACGACATCGTGCCGTCCGGGGGTCTGCGTCAGAGAACCAGCGACTCCAAGGGGTGTGGTCTGCAGAGGGCGCGGCTTGCAACTGGCACCCTGGGGGACACTCTCGAGGGCGGGCGAGGATCCTGGCAGAGCTCTCCGCCGCGCCCCGACGAGGCCCGAGGAGGACAGCGTCGTACCCCCCAGGACCCAGAAGCGCCGATCGCAAACCACACCCCGGCGTGACCACACCCCTTGCAGTCGCCGAGAGAAGCCCGCCCGCCCCTCGCCCCAGCGCCCGCGGCGGCGCGCCCCGGCCGGGC